ATATATATCAAAAAAATCCAAAAACCCTTCTTTTATTTAAGTTCCTCCCAAATACATGGCTTACATATACCTGGCTCAACATTCTTGAAAAACAATCAAATCGAGGGTTCGGAAGAGAATTGGCCATTTAATCTTGTGAACTAATCGAGACCAAAATTGGAAAAAGAGATATGAACTGTTTGAACATAGTTTTACTGTTGCTACTTCTTAGCCTTATTAATGTAATTTGTTGTAGTTTTTTAATAATAATTTCATTACTTGACTACTTTATTTGGATGAAACAATGAGAATGAGGAACTTTTTAGGTAACTTAACATGAATACTTATTTAGATGTTCATTTAAAAAAAAAAGAAGAAACATCTAAACTTATTGGCTCAAAATCGAAAAGTCAAAATATTCAATTCGATTAATTCAAAACTGAAATTTAAAAGTTCGATCCAATCCAAATTTTTTTAGATTGAATTTGAATTATTATTTATTTAATTCAAAATTTTCATATTCAATCTAAATTGCTCGAACGCGCCCTCACTTATAGAAGTTGATGGGTTCAATTTGTTAATTAACCACATCCGCCCCTTGGTCTTCCTTGTTGCTCTATAACCTTGTACTAACATAAAATATTTAACAATATACTCTATTACACGTGTCCAATATCAGATCTTGTCCGTCCAAAGTATCCAATGAACTTTGGACATTCGTGTACTTGTCTTATTGGTTAATGTAAATAGGAAACACCACGTAAGAGCTTCTCACTTTCTTCTTTTAGAAAAAAACATATATATTAAGTACCAGATTAGATTCACTTGTAGTAGACTTTCTATAACTGAATATGGCAAATCCATCAGCGACCACGTGTCTACTATAGCCGTCCTTAATTCCACGTTGCCGAAAATGTGGACAATTGTTTTGCCACGTTACACTTTGTGGTGTTCTAGCTAGTCTTATCCTAGCCTCATGTATTTATATTATATACTTCTCTATTTGTTTTATTTTTTATATAGTAATTATTTTAAATCACGTGACACCCCCATATTTGTTATAGCTTCAATTTTTCCCTTCTAGTTCCAAAAAATGTGCTAACTTCCCATGTGTAACATATTAGATTGGCATATTAGCGTGAATTTTGGATTTAGGTATAGCCTATGATAGTATTAGGATTTTACTAGATGTTCCAAACTATTACTCATTCACTTTGATTTATTTAGAAGTGATGTCATTCCATCGTATATATTCAGATTATTTTTAGAATATTTACATATACATATATAAGAAAATTATTAGCGGAGTGATGTTGAATAAAACACCTTTGCAAAGGATGTCTCATATGCATGTTAGGGCTACATTGACCATTGAAAGAAAAAGGAAAAAAGAAAGAAGAAAATGAAATTGTGAAAGACTTTTTCTTGAACTTTTTATAACTAAATACGGATGATATATTCCTTTGCTTTTGTAAAGGGAATATATGTTTCCCTCCCTTTCTTACTGAGATTAGAATATGATATTTTTGCTTGGTAAATTCAAATTCTTTTCAAATATATATGCGAAGCAAGATCAAAATTTATTTTTTTGTGAAAAAACAATATCGAACAATTATAGTAAATTAATATACGGTCTATGCAATTTAAGATTCTAATAAGGACCTCATGTAATTATGACAAACTAGAGGCCTCGCCTTTTACGAATAATGAATTTGCCTTCTTTTCTTATTTTTTTTCCATTTCCTCTATTGGGTTTTTTATTTGTGGGGGTGGGGGGTATGGCGGCTCGGGTGGGAGCTATATAAGCCTCTAGGGATCGTGAAAAGCAATCATAACACCACATAGTATTCTTTCAGAACTTTAGAATATTTTCTTTGTTGTTGACGACAAAACAGAAACATAAATATTCGACCAAATATCAGTTTGTTCTATATAAACAGCAAAAATGGCAGGGTCATCTGTGGTTTCATTAGATAGGAAGTCATCAATAGAGAATGAACCTAGAACTCTCAATCTTCATCAAATTCAGTTTGCTAGGGTAATTCCTCTTCCCTAATTAATCATTTATTCTTCTCCTCTCTTTTTATTTCTTTAAGTTATTCTTTGTTGAATTTGTCCACCCTTTCACTTCATAACTGATCTTAGTAATTTCATATCTTTTTTCTAGCCATATTTTTCGTACTTATTGTGAAACTTGTTTTCATCGTCATGGTCAGTAAGGCAATTTGTTTCCCTTGTTTGGTTGGAGAAAAAAGTAGGAAAAGAAACTTTATATCCTTCTTTGTAAACAAGAGGAAAATAGCTGCACTCGGGGAGGAATTTATTTTACAATTTTCTTTCTTTGTGAAATGAAATTACAAAATGAAAAATAGCTTAACTCATTGCTTTCCATTATTTTCCACCATAAACAGATTTTTTACACATATGGGGACTCGTAGCACTCATCTTGTTTACAAATTTGATTTACTAGTAGTTCTTTTTTATGATATTGGACTTCGAACAAAGCTTAATGGTTCTTTATTTTTGAAGCAGGATGCAGCACTTTACGTTATAAATACAAGAGGTTTAGAAGAAGCTATGAGAATTTTCACAGAGGTAATTTCTCAATTCTCAAGCCATATTATTTCACAGAGGAATAATCAATGAATGTTGAAAACCGTTTAGCTTAAGATTACTTTGAACGACAAATCAATAATTGCTGTTGCATATGACCCTTGTCTCAAATTATCTCTCGTATTTTTTAAAAATAATTGTCTCAAATTATTTGTCATGTTAGAAGTTCGAGACAAAATTAAGTAATTTTTTTATCCTAAGTAGTAATTCTTCGTTCAGATGAAGATGACACGTAAATAGAGTAAATATTAAATAAAGAGAGTTTATATCTTATGATATAGATAAGGGTGAAATAGTCAAATTTTTTTTAAAATTAATTTATTCTTAAAGGGGATGTAAAAGAAAAATATAAATAATTTGTGACGGAAAGTATACACATACGTTCTTCGATGTAAAAAAAATCTAGCTGAGGAAGTATCGTTAGAAAAATGATCGCGGGGGTGTGGGGTTTTTTNATACCAACAAAAAAAAAGTGCGTGAAAATACAATATTGCTGAATAGGTTTACGTGTACTATTTTCATATTTCCTTAATTAGTGGTAGTTGATAAAGAAAGGGTCTTTGTTTATTTACGTAGTGTAATTGCATGGCGCAACTGGATTGCGTGGTTGTTAGTTGTTAACCACCTTATATCAATTTGCCAATTAATAAAAAGTTACGTGGTCCACAACACTTTGCTTTTGGCTAAGAATTTTTTATGCATTTATTTTATACTTTTTAAATCCGGTGTTCTTTTTTTTTTTTTTTTTTTTTTTTTTTCCTATGTAAGTGTCTACACCGGTGGGTGATTCTATTATTGTGGGTTGGGTTTATCGGTCCTGNTAAACAACTTATTTCCATGACTCCGGGCTTATAGTTTTGCTTTTACCGAGTGTCAATTTTTATATGACAAGTGCCTTTACCGGGCTTATAGTTTTGCTTATAGTATATTCGACTATCTGTTATTATCTTTTCAAATGTTTAACAGATTGAATATTTTTTTACTGTATATATAGTGACCTATTTGTTTTACGTTTGCCTTCACAGGGATTGGAACCAGTTGTTGGTTGTGTACGTGACAAGGACGAGGATAGCATGATATATGAGGAATTGGAGAGTTCGTCACATCCTTTAATTAGAGACATTGCTACTGCTCCTTTTTAGTCTAAATTTAGCGTGATTACTATATCACAAACTTGAATTGGAATGAGTGGCTTTTTCGCCCGAGGCATTTGGAGTTCTTTTATTCTTTTTACTTTTTTTGTTTTCTCTGTACAAAGTATATATATGTATATATAATGCTTGAAATAAAACATGTTGAGTTGTCCCTATACTCATTATAGTTGGCTCATGGCTGGTGCTCCTAAGCGTCATGGAAAATGGCTGTCACCTCATCCATATTACGTATATAAATTCTATTCGAAAAATCATTAATTTCTAGTTTTTCATTTCCTTTTGATCTTGGCCAACGGGACTTTTCACTTCTTGGCAGAGATGGATGTAAAGTTGCATATGTTGATGATATTCTTTTAACGTGATCTCGTACTGTTCGCTTCAGAGTTTAAGAGTTGTGTTATTTTTCGTACGACTTTACGTCGTTAAGGGGCCGTCGTTTGTTCAAATGCAGAATATGTAAGAATTATAATCCTGGCATTAGAACCAGGATTATATCTGGATAACTTATCTACTTTCTATATGGGATAACTTGTATCAAAATTTCAGTATAAAAATGATATAGATTTTAGCTATTCCTTCAACTAAATACCGGGTAAATATAATCCATCTAATCCCTATAGCCAAATGGCCCCTATGTGATTTCTTTAGTCAATTTTCAGTGTGCTGCTTAACTGATTATGCTACTCTTCCTCTGGTCAAAATAGATGTTCGCCTTCTCTTCTTGTATCACAATGACACCACACAAATTTTTTTTGTCAAAGGATGCTTGCTTATTGTTTAAGTCAATTCGAAAGGCTATAATTTCACTATTTGGACCGATCAACAAATTGGGATTACGTGTTACCATTATGCTCCAGTAAAAGGGCAGTCTGTGTTATTGCACAAATCACAATCCTTATTCTTTATTTCTATTTGCGTAAGATGTAAATGGATGTCTGATTTCGTCCTATTGGAGGAGGAAAGGAACATAATTAATTGATAAGAAAGTTAGAAACTTGCAGTGTAGGGAATGAATGATTCCTTTGGTGAATTGTAGCAGAGGCATAGACATTGAACATTCAGTATGAGTACCAATTGGTCTAAACTAAAGATATACTTCCTCAAAACATTTTTAATGAAGTCTTTTGAGTTCTGGCTCGTCTATTTTCATTCATCAGAGTGCATCTATTCATAATGGCTACAGCCTACAAATATCATTATCACATCATGTCTCTCTTATTACGTTTTTCTCGATACAAACTGACTATACAAATGTAATGACTTTAGACCAGAGGTGCAGCCAAAGGTCAGTTACAAAACTAAGTAGACGAAGAACATTTGGTAGCATGGAGATGGTAATCTAAGATACAGGAATGATGATTACATAGTGTGTCCTATCAGAAAACCTGTGGTAGATGCCACTGATCTGATGCAAGCACCATGTTGTCACCCTTTCAAAACCTCGACCTCCTTTCTAATTATGTACCACTTATGGAACCACAACCACATCAAATCAACCACTGAGGACTCGGAAATGTTTCCTTGTAAATGTCTCTCGCAGTTCTACCTGTTTGCTGGTCGAAACTGAGAAATCCACAAGCAATGCAGCCTCAAATCATAGACGATAATGCTGATGCCTTGGTTGTGGTAGCACAAAGGAGCAGTCCTCTCTGGAAGAAATCCAACCATTCAGACTTACCAATTCAATCAAACTCACACATATGCATGCGGACTTGTATCCACAACGTTAAACATCTAGCCATGCCTTGGGTGATATCAGTTGCTTCAGTAAGTTTTTGTTAATGTGGTATGATACAATTGAAAAGCCTCTCTTACTTGCAAGATCATCAATAAAACTGTTTCGTGCTCCACTAACGTGCCAATCCCAAATATATTGCTCAAGTGACTGCTAAATATTGATGCACCATGCATTGAGAGCCTACAAAAGCAATGTCCTCTCATGGTATCAACAAAAACAGAGACGTACGTGAGCTTATACAAGAAGACTATGCTTAATGTAATTGGAAAGGACCACAAGAGCTGCAAGATGGGAAGGTTACTCACTGAAGAATAAGTAACACAAGCACGAGGAACTGATGGCTAACTACATAGGAAATGCATTACCTATTAGCTGTGGGAGAAGCAAGTGTTGACGAAGCAAGACATCTATAGCAGATGATGCGCAGAACATACATGGCACAATCTCTTAGGCGACAAATGCAGCAGAATTAATTTAATTGAATGGATACGTAGTGACATTTGATGCTCTCCGAGATGGTCCTAGGGCAAGGTGGCTCTGCCGTTTTAATCATATCTGCATGAAGATTCCCCGTAGCTGAAGTAGGTCTTGGCTTTTCGAGTGCAGTTCTAGACACAGTCTGCTCCATCATACAAGGGCATGGAGTTGGTTACAGCAACAAAAAGCAAAGTGCTCAGGGGCCAGGGCAATCTTGGACTTACCTGCTATTCTGTGGCGGGAGAAGTTTGAGGCATTAGAATCAGATCCCGACAATGTTTTTTCAACCTGTGACAACAGGTTATCTAAAGAAATAGATAGTTGCTTGTCTATGTAAGAAGAATTATTTGTAACATTAACTTGCACTAAAACAAAAAGTATGTCATAAGCACTGCTTGACAAATATACAAACCTCTAGAAGGAATAAGACTCATTATCTTTCGTCCAATGCCAGTCAACAAGGATGTGAAGATGACACTGTCAATAGAAAAAGAATTATCAAGAATCTTTTATGGGTTCTTAATTTCAGCAAACTTTTGATTGCATATCTAAATTGAGTTTCAATTTGCAAGACCTAGCTTTAGTTTCGGACATTAGATTATGGGGGCACTACTGATAAAGTTTTATTAGTCTACAAATCAGAATTTAAAAAATGTCACTTTTATACGAAGTGGATACACACAATTGTCTTTCACTCAAAAGCATAACATTGTTCCTTTTTTAAAATGATAATTAGAGAATTCGAAAAAAGAAAATAATAAATAAATAGCTGTATTTTTTCTAGCTAATTCTCCTCTCGGCCGTTAGTGGTGAAACTTACCGTATGCCTACGCCGGAAATGGCTAGGGGTAAGATGAAAAAAACTGCGAACAAAATTCAATTATCATAAGTGAAGATAGCAAAGGTGAATCGCAGAACAATTGAGAAGCCTGAGCTATTGGAAGATCTATCGGGAACAGGGCATATTTAATCGCCAACTGGGGTTCCAAACCACAACAATGAGGGCACGCACACTCCGCCGATAAGGGGCAATGAAGCTATAAGTGATGTACCAGGAAATAAGGACACTACAGGGACAGTAGCTTCTGTATTGGGGATAACTAAGCTATCTCAACAACTAGGGTTGTGAATAGCGGAGGCAGTGGAATTGTAATGCAATTGAAGGAAACTCAAAGCCCTAGGTCTGAGTCTGGAAGAGCTATTCCTCATAAGTTTCAGCAAGAGACCCCTACTGAAGAGATAATGAAGATTGATCAGACTGATGCTACCAAATGTGTTCCTACCTGGGCCAATATTGTCACCGGGAATAAGCTGGCCTCTAGGGGAATGAAACTGGACTTCATAGCTCCACTAATACTATAAGGGGAGATAATTGTGGAATTGAACCAAGAGGAGATTGAAGAAGAAAATAAGTGGGAGCATGCTATTATCTTGTATGTCATTGGCAACTCACCAACAATTGGAGCTTTGAGAGATTCCTTACCGCTCAATGGAGGTTCGCTCAAAAACCACAAATCTATTATCACAATGAAGAGGCAATTTTGTGATCCCGTTCAGCTGCTACTAGGAAAGGAATGAGGTATTATTCTCTGGTCCACAAACTATTAACAATAGGCCTGTGATAATGAAGCCATGGAGTTATGAATTTAATTTCTAAGATGAAGTGCTACGAATTGTGCCATTATGGGTGAGATTTCCCAATTTTCCGCTTAACTGTTGGGGAATATGGACTCTTAGTCGTATTGGTAGTGGCCTAGGCAAACCACTTTTTGCAGATGAGTATTACTTCAGTCACTCGTATCTCCTTTGCTCGAATGTTAATTGAGGTCGGCATTACAAGACCCCTGCCAAAAAAGGTGAAGGTGAAGGACCCTAGGGGAAAGATATTTGAGCAGGAGATAGTTTATGATTGGGAACCAGAATATTGCTCAACATGTCTAACCATTGGGCATGATTGTAAGAGAGTGATAGAAAGGAAGCCTCAACCTAAGCTAGCTAAAGGAAGGAATGTCATCACCAAACAGGTTTGGCAAAGGAGTGAATCTGTGGCAGATATTCGAAAGGTGACACATGTTCAGCAACAGGGTATACAAAAGCAACAGAAACAACCAGAGAAGGTAGCCAAGGAAACAGAGTTTCCTATTCAGCCAGAGAACAACAATGAACAACCTCAAACAGAAGGGTGGAAAGCTGTTACAGGGAAATCAGCTGCTAAATCAAATAAAGTAGCGAGTCATGAAGGTGACAACATTGGCACAAAGAATGGATTTAGTCCATTAGCTGAGCCAACAGGCAATCATACTTTGCAGGGTTGTCAATCATTTGAAAGGGGACAAAGTAGCCAGATAGGAGCTGGGGATATCACATTTTCTCTATTCGTTCCAGTATGAGTCTGATTACTTGGAATGTAAGAGGAATGAATAAGTCCTATAAGCAAAAAGAGCTAAAAGGGGTTTTAAGGGAGAATTTGGGTCTTCTGGGGTCCTAATGTTTTTGACTTTAATGTAATAGACATAAGTGCTCAATGCATCCATGGAATGGTGAGAATTTATGCAACCAACTTGTTGTTTAATTTCACAGCTGTATATGGATACCACACAATACAAGATAGAAGGGGTTTATGGGAGAGACTCAGGGAGCTAGCAGGAGTACAACAGGACCATGGCTGGTAATAGGTGATTTCAACACTATATTGCATGTTGAGGATAGACAATTTGGGCTCCTGTACCAGAAGCAGAAGTTAGGGATTTTAGAGAATTTTTGTCTGACACTGGTATGACTGAGTTACAATACACTGGTAGGGACTATACCTAGACAAACAACAATGCGTATAGCTGGATCGATAGGACGATAGTGAATGCAGAATGGATGAACTTATGGCCTACTTGGAAAATTATAGTGATGGAGCCTTTCTTTTCAGATCATTCCCCTTTAAAACTTACTACTGAAGGGCAGCAGGGGAAGGGTGCTAGGCCATTCAAATTTTCAATTGTCTAGCAGAGCATCAAGACTTCTTACCATTGATCAAGGATTGCTGGGATAATATTGGTACAAATATGTGTATGAGGCAGATATGGTATAAGCTCAAGGAGGTGTAGCAAGATATAAAGAAGTTGAGCACAAGACAATTTACGGGGTAGACAAGAAGCTAGAAGAAATAAGAAAAAATATCCAGGTGGTACAACAACAAATGGGAACTCAGCTGTTACACGCTAATTTAATAGAAGATGAGAAGGAGTTAAGATCACAGTTAAAGAAATGGGGAGCAATTGAGGAGAGAATATACAAGCAGAAATCTAGAATCAAATGGCTTTCGTTAGAAGATTCTAACTCTGCTTATTTCTTTGCTAACATGAAGAACGGGTGTGGGCAGAACTCCATTAGGAATTTACAGTCACTTCAAGGGGGATTGCTACATACTAAAGCTCATACAAAGGAAGAAGTGGTGGTTGTTTATAGGAGTCTTCTGGGCACATCTGCTGAATCTTTACCCACAATTAATCCTACAGTTATTCAAGATGGGGCTGTACTTAACAAAAATCAGCAGAAGCAATTAATCAGTCCGATTAGTAGTGAGGAAGTAGTTCAAGCACTTAACAGTATTGATGATACGAAGGCCCTCGGGTGTGACGGGCTTAATGCGTATTTCTTCAAGAAAGCCTCGCCAATTATAGGTGATGAAGTTACACAGGCTGTTCTACACTTTTTTTTATACAAATGAGATGTTTAAGCCCATAAACTGCACATCAGCGACATTAATTCCCAAGGTCAAGAACCCTTCAACTGTCAAGGACTTTAGACCTATATTTTGTTGCACAACAATATATAAAATCATCTCTAAAATCCTAACCAGAAGACTACAGGGAGTTATGGATGATCTTGTTGATAACTGTCAGTCAGCTTTTGCCCCAGGGAGGGAGAGTCATTACAGACAACATTATTATGGGGCATGAACTAGTTAAAGGGTATTGAAAGAAAGGTTTACCACCTAGATGTATGATCAAGCTAGACATGCAAAAGGCGTATGAATCCTTGGAGTGGGTGTTCATAGAACAAATACTTATTGGGTTGACTTTTCCTGATAAATTTATTAGATGGATCATGAGTTGCTTGAAGACAGTGTCTTACTCTATTCTTGTTAATGGGATGCTCAGTATACCATTTGATGCCAAGAAAGACCTGAAGCAAGGGGATCCATTATCCCCTTCTTGTTTGTACTAGCGATGGAATATTTAACTAGAGTGTTGAAGACCCTAAGACAAAAACCAGATTTTAATTTCCACCCTAGATGTAGTGAAATGCAGAGAGTGCAATTGGGCTTTGCTGATGACCTTCTGATGTTTTGCAGGCGTGATGTGATAACAGTCAAACTGATGTATGACTGTGTCCAACAGTTTTCATTGGCTTCAGGATTGATAGTTAACAAAGTCAAAAGCTCAATCTTCTTTGGAGGGGTGCCCGAGGATATTAAAATAGAGGTTGTTAGCTTGCTGGACTTTTCTCAAGGAGCACTTCCGGTCAGATATTTGGGGGTGCCAGTTCCAAAAGATTGACAGTAATGCAATGTCAGCCTTTTTTTGACAAGATGGTTGGAAAGATTACCTCATGGACTGTGTCCTATGCTGGGAGAAGTCAGCTCATTAAAAGTATTTTGTTCTCCATACAGACTTTCTGGTCACAAAATTTTGCATTGCTTAAGAAGATTATTACATTGGTTGAGACTGTATGCAGGAAGTTTTTGTGGGCAGGTGGAAAGGACTTAAGCAAGAAAGCTTTATTGTCTTGGGACAAAGTGTGTTTACCTAAGTCTGCTGGTGGACTAAATGTGACAGATATAGCATTGTGGAATAAAACATCAATTTGTAAGCATTATCGGAATCTCTGTAAGAAGAAAAGATAAACTATGGATTCAATGGGTTCACACTTATTATATAAAAAGGAAAACCTGTTTGGGGAATATGTGCTAAACAATCATCGTGGATGGTAAACAAAATCCTTAAAGCCAAGGAGTTCTTGAAGCAAGCAAGCATTTCTTTTGATGAGCTAATGGAGATACAATAGTTCTCTATCAGGAAGTTGTATATAAAGCTAAAAGGGAAGTTTCAAAAGGTACCATGGAAGAGACTAGTTTGTAATAACATGGGATGCCCAAAATGGATTTTTTTGCTGAGAATGGTGGCCCATGGAAGGCTGTATACCAGAGATAGACTGGTGAAATGGGGAGTAACGGGTTATATTATATGTCCTTTATGTGTGTAGAAGATGAATCTGTAATCCACTAGTTCTTCAAGTCCTCCTTTGTTGCTTCAATATGGAATCAATTGCTTAGATGGCAGGGTGTTCATAGACAGGCAATGGGGTGGGTGGATGAGCAAGCATGGGCAATCCAGTTCATGAATGGTGAAAATGCCAAGGCAGAGATCTATAGAATGAGTTTGGCTGGATGTGAATACTATGTTTGGCAAGAAAGGAACCAACGGATATTTCTGGATAGAAGGAGAGAAGATGCTACTCTAGTGAGACAGATTGTTCAAGACGTACATGTTCGAGGTGCAGACAATAGAAGAATAGCAGGCCAATTGAGAAGAATGAGTTACTATCCTTAGTTTCTGCTAGTTATGAATGTAGTAGTTATGACTGTTATAGATTTTGAAGTTTTGTAGTAGGGTAGATTGTAGAGTGGCGCATTCCTGCCTACCTTGAGGGTTTTTAGAACTGGTTGTAAATACTTCTTTTTCCCTGGTATATAAAATCTCTAATTACCAAAAAAAAAAAAATCAGAGAATTCATTGATAATTCACCAAGATGGTGTGCTAATTTTAAAAAGGTGTCATAGTATTTGGAACATGGGCCTCATGAAACCTTAATATCAGCTTGGATATTCATAGCACCAGTTGGGAAATCAATTGTTTCCTAGATCAGTAAAGAAATGAGCTAAAATTAGAAAGGATCTAAAATGTGAGCAAAAACAGACACAAAATTTAGGAGGAGGCACAGAAAAAGGGAGTATACTACATGTATCAGAAAGGCTTACAAAAAAGATTACCATAGAACCATCCACCAGCTGCCTGGATCCTTTATCTTCACAAGCATTAGCAACTAACTCAAAGCACATGGAAGAAATCTGGACCCACGATGATGAGTCAGTTCCTAGGAATTAAAAAAGAAAAAAAGGAAAAAAAGAAATTTTAGCAATACATGTTAGAAGAGGAAATGAAATTGATAAAAACAATGAAAACATTCACATAAGTTCCCACAGAAAGTAGAATACAGAATGTAAGTTCACGAGGGGACTTCTGTATTCTCACAACGAGACGAAAATTATTGGAGGTTTAAGCACTGAAAATGTGAAACAAATCTTTCAGCACTGAAGTTTTTAGATAACTGCTTAATGTTGAGGACAATGCAAGAGCACTAAGTTGCTATCCTGATTAACGGATCAGAAAGCAAACAGGGGGGAAAATAAAACATGCATGGCTTTCTCATGCAGATTGAAAATGCAAAATCATATGATAAAAGATGAATACTGAATGCCATGCAACTAGATGATACAAGAAGTTCAAAAAAGCAACAAAGGATGGTTAAGGTGGCAACATGCTGGAACCGGTCGAAGATGTTAATGCAAGCACCTAATATTTCAATCTCCAATACTATTGTCCGGGACAGCTCCCCTAGCTCTTAGAAATCACATATAAGGGTATTAACATGTTGACACAACCCCATTTCCCCAAAAATGAAGGAATAGGTAAAACAGGATATAATTGAGAAGAACGAATCATTTAAGTTTCAAAGATGACAGTCTAACCCAATGTGCAGAAGTGTGTCGTTGCCATGACTCCGTTATGTCTTTAGAAAATCAGACAGGTGCCTTTTACATGTCCAGCAGGTGCTCAGGCAAGTTTATAGCTTCTTTTGCATTAGAAACGTGAGGTTGGGAACCGACCAGATGAGTGTCCGAACCTTGTGTCAGTTCATTTCATTCTTGGTTCGCGCTTGCCGATCTCCGGGGAAGCAAATTAACTAAAGAAGTATATGCAACTTCATCTAAACCAACTCCTGTAAGGGAAATACGATCTAAAAGTGAAAAGGCTTCTTCTACTTCCCCTTCCTTCAGAAACCCCTTCGTCAAAACGTTATAGGTGACAGAATCAGGAGTAATTCCCTTCTGTACCATCTCGGCAAAAAACTCCTTAGCTACTTTAACTTTACCAGCTTGGCAATACCCATCAATAATGACTGTATAAGTTATCTTATTAGGTTGTATATTGTGTGATGACATTTCCTGCAAAATGCTCCTCACTTTATCCATCTGACCCAATTTACAATAACCTCCAATCAATGCCGTATAACAAACAACATCAGGTGGAACTCCCTCCGTACGCATTCCATCAGTAAGGTTCATCGCATCCTCCATAAGCCCGATATTGCTCATGCCATGTATGAGAGAGGAATAAGTGACAACATTTGGTAGAATACCCCTACTTCTCATGTCATCGCGAAGTTTAAGGGCTTCTGTCACATTCCCGTTTCTACAATAAGCTCCAATAAGGGTGTTATAAACAATTATATTTGGGACTAAGCCTTGTCTGAGCATCTCATGGAAAAGGTCTCTGCCCTTTCCAAGTTTATCAGCTTTGCACAAACCATTTATTAAGGCCCCATAGGTATAAATATCACAGACAAGTCCCTTGCTTCGACATTCATCCCATAGCAACAGGGCTTCATCTATTTTACCCTTCTCGCCAAGCCCATGTAGCAGCACATTGTAAGTTGAAATGTCAGGTGCACTTCCTTGCTTTACCATTTCTTCTCTCAACACAAAGGCACCATCTAAGTTTCCGTCTTTGCAAAATGCACATATAAGAGTATTATACGTCATGCTATCTATTTGAACACCACTATCTCGCATCGCTTTCAGCATCCGAACAGCCTCTTGTATGTTACCAGCTTCACAAAGCCCATGAATTAGAGCATTTGAGGTCACTGTATTGGCCGTGAGCCCTTTCATCAGCAGCATATGCCAAAGCTCAACTGCTTCTGAATGCTTCCGTTCCTTGCAAAGACCACCAATTAATGTGGTCAGCAACCCATCATTTGGTTTCAAACTCCTTAATATCATTTCCTTAGTAAACCGTAGTGCAGAAAAAAACCTAGAATTTGTACACAATACAAGGATAACATTATTAAATGAACCAGGATTTACGCTCAATCCATGTAATAACATCTCCTCTAAGAGTTCTTCAGCTTGACTAGCTTGATTTACCTTACAAAAGCCTTTGATCAGTGAATTGCAAGTAACCGAGTTGGGGAGAATTCCTTTTCTTAACATTTCATCCCTTACCTTTAAAGCTTTCTGGATATTTCCTGCTGAGCAATGGCCATTAATGATGGTATTGTACATCACCTCATTTGGAACAAGCCCCTTGTTTGACATTTCTTTCAACACACAATCAGCTTCATCATATTTCTCAAGTTTCATCAGACAATTAATAATTATGCTATATGTGACGATACTTGGCTTTACACCATTTAATATCATTTCTTCCTTCAGACAGAAGGCATCTTCTAAATTACCATTCCTGCAAAGCCCGTGAATGAGGTTATTATAAGTGACAACATTTGGCATGACACCCATGTTTTCCATCTTTCGAAACAACTCCTTCGCCTCTTCCACCCTCCCTCCTTTACAAAAAGCATTAATCTCAGTGCTAAACAAGTAAACATCAGGTTTAACACCATCCTTCAAAACTCCAAAAACCTCATAACTCTTCCAAAGCTCATTCTCTTTCACAAGAGAACTCAACAAAAAGTTACAAGTTTTCAAAGAAGGATACAACCCCCTACTCGCCAATGACCTGAATACATCCAATGCAGCATCAAACCCAACATTCTTGAATTGGGTACAACATAGATGAACCAAAAGATCAAATGTCCTAACAGCAACACCAAAATCAGACAGGCGACTTAACTCCGCTAAAGAAACAGCTACCTCTACATGCTTTTGTTGGGGACAATCAAACAATGCAGGTAGTTTCCCATCAATTAACCTTATCAAAAGCAACCTAGCTGCATCATCATGATTCGAGGCGACGAGCAAACGAAACAGAGTACAATAAGATTGAACACTGAAACTAAAACCATAAGAACCGGACGCTAGATGGAAAAATTTCAAAGCATTCAATGGTTTTAAAGATGAATGAATTTCCAAGAAAATAGCATCAAACTGCTGTGGAGTCAGATGGGTCAGCAAATCTTTAATCTTTAACGAATCTACATGTGGGTTTGAGAGAACTGAAGTAACCCATTTGCGCAAATTGAAATCAAATACCTTTTGCTGTTTACTTTCTGAGCTGGGGTTAGGCTGCTTAGAAGGTGTTTGATGTAATGTCTCACTAATTTGATCTGAAGAAGCAGTAGAAATCACACAGGTCAAAGGACGTTTGATATGTGAAAATATAGCAATCGTTTTGGGAATTTTCAATCTTCTTACGTCCATCTATATTACTATTCTATATGTATAAAATTTGTATAAGAATCAGTATTCATGTGTATGAGAAGAGAAATACGCCTTTCTGAAATAGGGTTTAGATGGAGATGGAAATAGAAATGGTGGCAATGATGCCATGTATGTGGGTTGTGTTGGAGGAAGAAAGGCCACGACAGTTTCAGGTAGTTTTGCCAATGGCGTAGAGGGTTTAGGTAGTTTGAACGGAGAACCGCAGACTCAGCAACTTTTGGGCCTCTGAATGAATAGTCAAACTAGGACCAATAGCTAGGTTGTTTTGGGCTTGTCCCTCAAAAATATGTATTGGGCCAAAGAAGGTTGTGGTCGTCAAAATTGATTTTGTTTTTGGAAAATAGCCACTTTTAGATGCTATAAGAATTTAGCCACTATTTAAAAAGCTATTAGCATTTAGCTACTTTTTCACACAAGAAAATATTTGAACAAAAATACCCCTATACTAAAACACAGAACAACTCCAGCAATCGATGTTGGAGCCTGAAGCTTTGATAAGTGAAACCTAGTATACTATGCTAAAGTTGAAAAATCAACTAAATGTGAAATTACAACATTGTATGTTGGAGTTCATAATTTTATTAGTATAAACTCGGCATATTATATTGGAGTTTTAACCTAATTCTTAAAACAAAAATCCAACCCAATTGAATTTTTTCTTGTAATAGTATAGTTCGGTGTCTTGGAGGCCGATGAGAGCTTCTGCATAAATTCTTTATCAACCAATAATTTTTTCCCTTCTCATTTCCATACCCATAGTTTTTAATAACATAGTTTAGTAGACGCAATTGTTTCAAATAGCCATTTTTGTTGCTCGCCATTTCAAAACTACTTGAAATTAAGTCACTTTTCATATAAAAAAATCATATTTGGAAGAAAAAAAATCCCTCCATATATCAGCTACACACAACTGATTTTTCACTACGAAAGCGCTTATTTTTCTCCTCCTTTTTTTGAACTCCAAAACATTGTCCTAGAGTTCACTTGTAGAAGTTTGATTTTAATTTTTACAAGTGAAACTCTAAATACTTGTTTGGAGTTCAGTTTTGTAACTCAAAACTCCAGGGCACTATTATGGAGTCATAATGATGTTGGGCATATTCTAATATTGATTTGTGGTTATTTTTCAAGTTCCTTAGGGTGTTTTTTTTACTGGTAATATGCCATGTTAAGATGAGTTACAGAAAGAAGTATCATTGTGTCATGACCCAAAACTTAGCATGTCATGGTGGCGCCTAACGTGATACTAGGCAAACCGACACTTCAAAATACTTTCACATTTTTAAATTAAAAAAATAGGAATAACACATGTTTAAATCATCAAAACTCGCAAAATGGATAGAAAGTCAAAACCAATACAGAAATTTCCAATATCGGGGTGTCACTAAGTACATGAGCGTTTAAACATCCCAATTTTGGAAGCACAATATATAATAGTCTGAAACTAAATACATAAAGCGGAAAGATAGGGAAGGAGAGACGGGGTCTGCGAAATGTCAGGTAGCTTACCTTGAAATCTCCACATGATCGATTGTGCAAAGGAATCAACACCTACCGTGTTCGGAAATACCTGGATCTGCACACGAAGTACAGGGTGTAGCATGAGTACAATCAACTCAGTAAATAACAAGACTAAATAAAGGACTGAAAGCAGTGACGAGTTTCACAATTATAGTTCAGTTACAGTAATTTCAACATAGGAAGGTATGCATGCTTTCAAGTTCGACAATTTAGGCCACAACAGTTAATTCATGTCAAGTTCAGGTGAAACATAATATAAATCTCTCAGAAATTACAAGACGGTGATATATGATAGCTGAAGTGAAACAAAAATGAAAGTCAAATGCATCCTCTCAAAGCAACAGTCACTCAGTCCTCTCATTCACTCCAACTTCACCATCATTCATTCTTCACAATCACTCATTCCTCTCAATCACTCAGCACTCAGCACTTGATATCCGACATTCGGCACTCGCACTCAGTAGGTATCTGCGTTCACTGGGGTGACTCTGGAGGGGCTCCTTCAGCCCAAGCGCTATAATAAGCCAATCATGGCATAAATCAATAAAACATGCTGCGACGTGCAGCCCGATCCCATAAATATCTTCACAATTAGGCTCTCGGCCTCACTCAGTCATCAACCTCTTCAGTCTCTTGGGCTCTCAGAAATCATGATAATCAGCCCAAACAATAATGATATAATGCATCAATAATGAACAATAGAGACTGAGATGTAATATACAAGTTAAATTGTGACTGAGTATAAAACAACATCTTAGCAGATAATTCAACATGTTCACGACCTATGTGGGTCCCTACAGTGCCAACACATAGTCTAAACATGATTTTTAATTTGATTTATAGTTTAATTTCTCTAATACATGGAGAATGTACGGATAACAACAGATTATTCAACTACACAGTTCCATGAAATTGACCAAGTCACAATTCCTACGGCGCACGCCCGTCACCTAGCATATGCGTCACCAAAACCAAACACATGACACATAATACGGGGTTTCATGCCCTCAGAACCAAATTTAGAATTATTACTTACCTCAATCCGAATAAATCTCTACTCCAATACACCATTGCCTCCAAATGCCTCGAATCTATCCATAAACAATTCGATATAATCAACACGGGCTAAAGGAATCAATTCCAGAATAAAAATACTAAGTTATTAATCAAAAGTTAAAAATTGACTCAAAATCCGCCCCGGGCCCACGTCTCGAAATCCGTTAAAAGTGACAAAACCCGAAAGCCCATTCATCCATGAGTACAACCATACCAAATTTACCAAAATTCGACACCAAATCGTCACCCAAATCCCCAAATTCAACTCTCCAAATCCCTAGCCTCAAACTCTCAAATTCCACCTTAAATACACATAAACTAGGTGGGAAATTCAATGGGGAAACAAGATTATTGATTAAAAAAATGAGCACAAGGGACTTACCTCAAGAAACCCCTCGAAACTCCTCTCAAGAATCGCCCAAACCCGAGCTTTAAATGTTTAAAATAAAGCAAAATCGCAAACCCTCGTTTTAAATAATCTGCCTAGCATTCTCGCTTCTGTGGCCACTTTACTCGCTTATGCGGCACCGCTTTTGCGGTCCATTATCCGCATATGCGGAGGTCACTAAGCCGACCAACCGCTTCTGCGGTCTAAACCCCCACTTCTGCGGGCGCGCATCTGCACAAACAATCTGCTTCTGCGGACCATCCTCACCACTCCTTTTTCACTTCTGCGACCCTTCAAGAGTAGGTGCGAGTCCGCACCTGCGGAATACCTTCCACATTTGCGCTCCACAGTCCCCAGTCCAATCTTCCATTTCTGTGCTTCCTAGCTCGTTTCTGCGAGCTCGCACTTGCGACCAATGTTCTGCAGGTGCGATTGCACCAGAAGGCTTCTGTTACAGCAATCTGTCAAACTCAAACTTTGATCCGAAAACCATCCAAAATCAACCCGAGGCCCAGGCCCTCGGGACCTCAACCAAACATACCAACAAGTCCTAAAACACGATACGAAACTAGTCGAGACCTCAAATCACATCAAACAACATCAAAAAACACAAATCACACCCCAATTCAAGCCTATTGAAACTAAGGAAATTTCAACTTCTACAAACGATGCCGAAACCTATCAAATCACGCCCGATTGACCCTAAATCTTGCACATAAGTCACAAATGACACAACGGACCTACTCCAACTCCCAGAACTCCAATCCGAGCCTGGTAACCACAAAGTCCACTCTTGGTCAAACTTCCAAATTTCCATCTTTTGCCATTTCAAGCCTAATTCAACTACGAACCTCCAAAACACAATCCAGACACGCTCTTAAGTCCAAAATAACACAACGGAGCTAACGGAACCGTCAAAACTCCATTCCGAAGTCGTTTACTCATAAGTCAACATCCGATCAACCCTTTCAACTTAAGCTTCCAACTTTGAGACTAAGTGTCTCAATTTATTCTGAAATATCTCCGGGTCCTAACCAACTACCCCGGTAAGTCACATAACAACTATAAAGCATAAAAGGAGCAGTAAATAGGGGAATGGGGTTTCAACTCTCAAAGCGATCGGCCGGGTCGTTACATCTTTCCACTCTTAAATAAACGTTCATCCTCGAACGGGTCTAGAAACGTACTTGAAGTCTCAAATAGGTGTGGATATATGCTCCGCATCTCCTGGTCGGTCTCCCAAGTAGCCTCCTCAACTGGCTGACCTCTCCACTGCACCTTCACTGAAGCTATGTCCTTTAACCTGAGGGTTGGACCTACCAATCCAAAATGGTCACCGGCTCCACATCATAAGTCAAATCACCATCCAACTGAACCATGCTGAAATCCAAAACATGAGACAGATAGCCGACATACTTCCAGAGCATAGAAATATGAAATACTTGATGCACACTCGACAAAATAGGTGGCAAGGCAAGCTTGTAAGCCACCTCTCCAATCCTCTAGAGTACCTCAAAAGGCCCAATATACTGAGGGCTCAACTTGCCCTTCTTCCCGAACCTTATAACACCCTTCATGGGTGAAACCTTGAGCAGTACCTTTTCCCCCACCATGAAAGCAACATCACAAACCTTTATGTCGGCATAACTCTTCTGTCTAGACTGCGTTGTGTGAAGCCGATCCTGAATTAATTTAACCTTGTCCAAAGCATCCTAAACCAAGTCAGTACTCAATAGTTTATCCTCATCCGGCTCAAACCAACCCACCGGAGATCTACACCATCTCCCGTACAAAGCCTCATATGGAGCTATTTGAATGCTCGGCTGGTAGCTGTTGTTGTAGGCAAACTCTGCAAGCGGCAGAAACTGATCTCATGAACCCCCGAAATCAATGACACAAAGCGCGTCGCATATCCTCCAATATCTGAATAGTGCGCTCGCACTGTCTGTCCGTCTGAGCCTGAAATATTGTACTCAACTCAACCTGGGTGCCCAACTCTTGCTGCACGACTCTCCAAAATTATGATGTAAACTGCGTGTCCCGATCTAAAATGGCGGACACCGGCATATCGTGAAGGCGAACAATCTCGCGAATGTAAATCTCAGCCAACCTCTCTTAAGAATAAGTAGTCCTAACTGGAATGAAGTGCGCGGACTTGGTCAACCGATCCACAATTACCCAAATAACATCGAACTTCTCGAAGTCTGTGGGAGCCGAACTACAAAATCCATGGTGATCCGC